AAAAGTTATCCTTCATTTTCACCATTTTATTATATTCATGCTTTTATTTGGCTTGAAAAAGAAGAAGAAGGCTCTTGAATAGTAATAGGCTTGTAAAGTGGATAATGACAAGAGTTTAGATAATTATGTATTGATTTCTTTTTCCTTCTATTTTTTAATGATATGTGTATTGTACTATTTCTTTTTTTCTTTCTTTATTTTTTCTCTCTTTTTGCTCTTATATATCTCTATGATGCCTCTTAAATTTAATTTTTACACAAAGAAAGCTTTTGAATAGTAATAGATTTGTGAAGTACTGAATATCAATAAGAGTGATGCCTCTCTACCTTTGTTTGACTTGAAAAAGAAGAAGAAAGCTTTGAATATTGATAGGCTTGTGAAGTGGATATGAAAAGATCTTAGACAATTATGCGTTGATTTTTTTTTCCTTCTACTTTTAATTTTAATGACTAAAGTTGCAATGATATGTGTATTGTATTATTTATTTTTTTCTTTCTTTCTTGTGTATTTTATGATGCCTCTTAAGTATATTTTGTATACAAACTTAAAATTTAATTTGAGGCACGAGTAATTAAATATTAGAAGTATGAGAGTTATTTGTTGTATAATTTCTATTTATATAATTTAGTCTCTTGTTGTAATAAATCTATAAAAAGGTATATGATTCTTTTACTCATATTTAATTTTTCATAACTGTTTTTTATATCGAAATACTGGTATTATAATATTTTTATTTCTTTATCTTTGTTATAATATTTTTATTATATATAATTATGAAATTACAACTTTTACTATAATATATTTATGAGTCTTAATATGAGGAGGAGATTAATTTTTATTGAGTAATAAACATCAATACTTAGCATTTAAATCAGTAACGGATTTGTTTCATTTCTTCAATTGTTATAAGTAATTATTAGCAAACTTCAATTTAATGAAGTTGAATCACTACTACTTTGTAGTTTGTATACAATTCTTTTACCTTCTTTGTTTTTATATGTGTTCTTTTACCTGTACAACATATAGGGAGAAAAAAGAACAAAATAATTGTAGAGGCATTAGTGAAGGATAAACGATAGGGAAATTGTATATGCTAGAAAAAAATGTAACTCAATGGTTGTTTTAGTTTCTTTTTAATTTTCATTTCATTTTTATTTTATTTAATAACAATTATAGAAAGAATTTTTTAACTTTTATTTAGATTTAAAGAAATTAAAAGGGTCAACTGCCAATAAATGCTTGTATGAATGTGTATCATAATTTACTACGAAATATTTGCTATGTACAATAAAAATGAAAATAATTAAAGGATATATATTATAGCTTATTGCTTAAGAATAAATTCTCTCTTTTGTTCAATATTAATTGTTAAGTCTAATAAAAAAAAATCATGTTGGTATTTATCTTGATAATATAATATAATTAGAACAATTAATGATGTTATAACTGGAGAAAAAAAAAGGCATAACATTGATATAGATCAAAAATTAATTTTCTAATTAAAAAAGGGGATAATTCCTTTGGGTTTCGCTCTATGACATTCACCTTTCTGTAGTTTACGATATTACGCCTACATCCCTTATTTTAATTTTTTTTGTAACCATTCTTTAAAATTATTTAAAATAAATATAAATCAACTATAACTTGACAAATCTATCCTTCTTTGTATCAGTTTCTTCATATTAATGCATATTATTAAAAACATGACTTATTTAATAAATACTTTAAAAATAAATCAACACAAACAAGATTATACTATAATATATATTTATTTATTTTATATATATAAACGTGTTCTTTTTTACCAAACAAAAATTCACACTTCTTCATATTGATTTATTTTTAAAAATTTCATTATATAAGTCATTTTTTAAATAATGTGGATTAATATAAAGAAATTAATACAAAAGGACAAAGTTGTCAAATTATAATTGATTTATATTTAGTTTAAATAAATTTAAAGAATGATTACAAAAAAAATCAAAATAAGGAAGATATACATAATATTGTAAACCACAAGGGAGCTGAATTTTCTAAAATTAACCCTTAAAAATTTTAGGCACCGCACAAAGTGCCGGCAAATTCCCTAGTTTTATATAAATACATAAATGTCAATGACATATTTTAGTCCATAAATTTCAAGTTATCTTTCCTAATGAATTGGCTTCCCACAATGAGGTAGTGTTGGAATTTTGTTTTAAATAAAATTGATGGAGTAATAAATATTTTAGATGAAGAAATGTCTTTTGAATGAAAAAAAATGTGTCCTTTCATTCTTTGGTTATCACTCATTTATTTAAATCCATCTTTTTGTAATTTCTAGTGTATATTTTTACCAACAATGTTTCTTTACTAAATTTTTCAAAAGACAATTTCTTCTTCGACCTTCTGAAAAAAAATTAAGTTCAAATTCTTGCTTATTAATAATATTTCTTTATTGTTTGCTTAATGCAAAAATTCATATATCCACTAAATTTATTTACGTACAATCCCATACAATCTCACAGAAGAGAGGGAGAAAATATTGTTCTAGTTTTACACGTATTTCAAATCTTCAATTCTCTGAATTCGTTATTTATATTATCAAATCTTCGTCTTTTCGTTCCTCATTTTTTTTTTCTGTTCTTGATATATGTTTGCCAATAATAGGTACTTCAGCCAAATCAAAATTCTTCACCAATAACATCATTATTTATATTGTCAAATCTTCGTCTTTATGTTGTTCGTATAGTTTTTTGTTCTTGATATATGTTTTCCAATAGCTACTTCAACCAAATCATAACTCTTCACCAATAACATCATTATTTATAACAAATGGGGACTTTGAAACAAGGACGGAGCTAGCTTTAGTTACGAGTTTAGCAGAATCTAATACATTTGGCTCAACCCCATATTTATAATAAAAGATTATTTATGTCTCATTATCTAAAATACATTAATCAAGGATTATAGTTCAGAATCCAGAAATAAAAAATATTAAATTTACCTTTCCCTAAAAAGCAAGTTGTAGGGTCCATTCTAAAGGGTAGAATATGAGGGATGTCTTAGACCCCAAATTTAAGGGCCCCAATCTTTTTTTTAGCAATCATAAAATTATTTCTTTAAGAGTACTATCTGTAGAAATACTTTTTTAAAAAAATCATTGAAAAGGAAAGAATATTTTTTAAATTCAAAAAATCTATATAGTAATATTTGACTTGCTTAATATTTTAGGTGAACTTTTTTATAATTAAAATTAATAAAATCTTATCTAAAATTAACAATGTCTCGAGAAATATTATATTGATATCCACACACCTTCAAAGTGTTTTGGAAATTAAACTATCTATATTTTAGTGTCAACTAGGCCATGAACAGTGAGGCATCTACCTGATATGCAAAGCACGAACTTCTCTCAATGGTCGTCTGCATTATTTAAGTTTATAGACAAGTTGTTACAATTATATATACAAAATTATATTTTTTATATAGTTCTAATCTTATCCTTCTTCTTTTTTTTTCAAGAATTAGACTTTAGTACTAGTATATCTATAGTTCCCACTTGTATTTTTTTTGGAGTTAAAATAAAAATAAAAATCTAAATTATCATATTTTCACGAGCTTCATATTTTAACTATCAATTGTTCTATTTAGCAATCTAACCTATCACTCCCTTGTATTACAACATACCTTGATGTTGAGTTGACCTACACGCGCCTGTTGTCCAGTGGGAACAATATTTGGCCAACCCAGAATCGAGATGTGTTTTTAATATAAAAGGGAGTGATAGTTTAGATAGGTAAAAGATAACAATGGATGGTTAAGATATGAAACTCAAAATAAATAAACCATAAATTCTTGTTTTTATTACATCTCTCTATTTAGAAATGAACTTCAAATTTCTCATTTTAAACATAATTACATGATTTTGTAGCCACATTAAAATGTTTATGGATGTTACAGGTTATAGGTTTCGAAAGCCTGTCTTTCTTTCTTAAACTATGTAACCGGCCAAACACCATCGCAATTGAGGGGTCTTCAACACCTTATACTATTTTAAAGCTTAGGAATTCAAAAGAACTATCTAACATGACAAGAAATTTGATACCTTCTATAACAATTTCAAGTGGATTTCCTAAATGTATATTCTCCCTTCGTTTAAAAAAATGACTTACTTTCCTTTTTATTCTATTTAAAAAAGAATAACTCCTTTCTTTTTTCGACAACACTTTATTTTCAACTTTCTACCTGACATGTTTAATTAAAACCACAAAGATTAAAAAAACATTTTGGTACATTTGACGCAACTTTATTTTAGAACCACAAGATTGAAAAATTCTATTTTTTTTAAACTTCGTATCAAGTCAAACTAGGTCATCATTCTTTTTGAAACAATGGGAGTATTATCCGTCAATATATATATGTGTGTGTGATGAGGGAAAATATAGCTATATCACTTCAAATAAAAACTAGCTAAACCTAAAGTATAACAAGATGGCTTTTCTTGCCTTTATGCTTCTTTGTTCTACCTATGTTAGCTATGTACTCAACATAACAACTAAACCAATGGAGGTCATCGACATATCAACTAGCCAAATACGTATTAGAAACGTGTTGGCAAGCAAATGTTATGAAGAAAATGGTGAACTATCTGCTCAACAACTTGTGTTTCTCAATACAGGAGTGTCGTTTTCACGTTATCTGAGAATGATAACAAGTTGATTCTTATAGGATGTGATGATTTGGCTATGGTTTTTGGTTTTTGGTTTTTCGTTATATGAAGGGAAGAATTTCAGCACTGGTTGTATGACAACTTGTTCAAGAGGTCAGGATGTGAGCAATAATGGGACATGTTCCGAGATTGGTTGTTGTCAAGCCGCGATCCCTAAGGGGTTGACGACTTATTTAGGTTTTGTAAATAGCCCCGGAAACCACACTAATGTATGGTCCTTTAACCCTTGTAGCTACGTGTTCCTTGGCGATCATGAAAAGTTCACCTTTAGGGGCGTACATCAGACTTCATGGACCCAAACTTTGTGGACAGAATAGTGAATGATGTTCCTATTGTGATTGACTGGGTAATTGGGACTAAAAATTGCAGTGTGGTTAGAAACTCAACAACTTATTCATGTATGGAACATAGTCTATGTATTGATTCTGAAAGTCGACGTGGAGGTTATCGTTGCATTTGTGAGGAAGGATATGACGGAAATCCTTATCTTAGTCCAGGCTGTCAAGGTTTGTGTGACCATCTCATCAAAAAGCTTAAACTATTAGAAAGAGTCAAGCACATGCTTTCAGGAGTTTTGTCTGCTCTAATACCATATTGAACTGTGTGACCATCTCATCTAAAAGCTTAAGCTGTCAGAGGTACATTAACTTTCTGATGAACTAATTTGAGCATTCTTGTAACAGATATCGATGAATGTGCAACGAGACCTTGGGATGGAATTTGCAAAAACACTCCAGGAGGGTTTGAGTGTTCGTGCCCGAAGGGATATTTTGGCGATGGAAAGAAGGGACGTGGTTGCCAGAAGGAGCATGATTTCCCCATCTTAAAGTTATCTCTTGGTATGTAAACACAATTACAATGGCATGAAGTTTCAATTTATCAAACCAATATGGTTAGAAATTATAGAACCAAGCTCAAAATGATTTAGGTAAGTCTTTAATTATCTTAGTCAATAAGCATATATCACTATAATAGGGAGATTTTACAATTACCAGTACATGTGGAGAGGAGACTCTCCAAACTTATATATTCAACATAAACTATCTTTAACATGAAAAAACTCAAATATGTCATCAAACTTTCAGAAAAGATTCATCTATGCCATCGGTTAAAAGTTTGGTTCATTTATGTCATTTCTGTTTGAGAAAGAAGGTTCATTCATGCCATTATTTGTTAAAGGAAAACAGTTCCAATTTTGCAAAATTATTTTTTTACGTGGTCAATTATGATTTGGTCACGTCACTAATTAAATCATTTTTTTTAAAGGGAAAAAGTTTAAATATGTCATCAAACTTTGAGAAAAGGCACATCTATGTCATCAGTTAAAGTTTGGTTCATCTATGTCATTTCAGTTAACAGATAATGACATGGTTGAGCCTTTCTCAAGTGGAAATGACATAGATGAACCAAACTTTTAACGGATGATATCGATGAGTCTTTTCTCAAAATTCGATGGCGTATTTGAGCCTTTCTCAAAAAAAAAAAAATCCCTCTTTTAAGACATAATTCCTCACACACTGTTCCATAGATACACAACTTATTTACCATATTTTTTAATTTTTCCACCATTTGAAAAAATTACAAAATTCCTTACTCCCTCCTATTCTCGGATATATCACTTTACACGATGTATTGGTCGGATATATCATTTTATGCAATGCATCGGTCGGATACATCATTTAATGCGATGTATCGAGACGTTGAGTGATGTATCCGATCAAGACGCGATGTATCGGAATGTTAGCAATGTATCTGGAATTGGGACGTGATGTGTATTGGGTACGTTTTGTAATTTGGAAAAGAATAGAAATATGATGTAATTAGCTCTTAACACTATGAGATTTACGTAAATATCCCTAATGTTAATATGAGAAAATAAAGTCTCTTCTTTTGGTTAGGAGAAAAAAAAACATGTTCCCAATATATATTTTTTTTGACATTCTACTATATATTGATCAATTGCAGGTTTAGGTCTTGGATTGTTGTCAATACTGGTTAGTGTTACATGGATATATTTCAGTTTAAAAAGAAGAAAAATTCTTCGAAAAAAATGGTGGTATGTTATTAAAACAGCAAATGTCATCCAATTTAAACAAAGTGTTTACGACAGAAGAGCTTGAAAAAACCACAAACAATTTCTCAAAAGATGGGATTCTTGGAGTAGGTGGAAATGGTGTAGTTTACAAAGGTGTTCTACCAGATCAACGCGTAGTTGCAATCAAGAAATCAAAATAGAAGAGTTTATAAATGAAGTCGTAATACTAACTCAGATTAACCACAAGAATGTGGTGAAATTGTTGGGGTGTTGTTTGGAGACCGAAGTTCCTTTATTAGTCTACGAATACATATCTCATGGTACACTTGACCATCATATACATACCAATAACGGAGAAATGACTTGGCTTTCTTTCCAAAATCAGTTAAGAATAGCCGTTGAATCAGCAGATGCTTTTAGTTATCTACACTATGCAGCTTCTATACCTATCTTACATAGAGATCAAATCCGCTAATATTCTATTAGATGATTATTATACAACAAAAATTGTTGATTTCGGAGCATCCAGGTTAAGACCTTTTGATCAAGCTGACATGAGTTCACTAATTATACCGGGTTATCTACACCCTAAAGCTATACAAATGGGATTGTCAGATAAGAATGATGTTTATAGTTTTGGTGTAGTACTTGCAGAGTTGTTAACAGGATGAAAAGTTATTGATCTCACTTTACCCAACAAAGAGAAAAGCTTAGCCGCATATTTCATAGCTTCTATGAAGGAGAATCGATTGTTTCAAATTCTCCATCATAGGGTTTTGAAAGAAGGCTCTTTAGATCAACTTAATGCTATGGGTGAGCTTGTCGTTAGATGTCTTAATATAAAAGGTGAAGAAAGACCTACCATGAGAGAAGTCGTGAATGCATTGGAAGGATTCACTAAATATAATATACGTTCTTGGGCTCATGATCTTGATCAAGAAAACGATCAACTACAAATGGGAGAAATGATAATTGAACAGAATGATCTCTATACTGTGTTAACGCGACGTCTATCAACTCTCATACATCATCATCAAGTGTTCAACAAAGCTCTGAATATAACATCAAACGTGAAGAAGATAACCTTGACAATATTTCATAAATTTGTGTATTTGGATCGATGTTCATTTGATCGTTCATTCATTGCTATAAACAGCCCAACCTGAGGGTCTTCTTTTGGAAATAGTCTTTCTGCTTTCACAAATCACAAGGTAGGGTAAGGTCTCTGTACACGCTACCCTTCTCAATGTGAGATTACATTGCATATGTTATAGTTGTTGTATTCGTGTTTACTTATTGCTTATGTTACCTATTCAATAATAATAATTACGTATTGCTTAATTAATACTCTCTCTATCCCTAATTACTTGCCCACATTTTCCTTTTTAGTTGTTCCTAATTACTTGTCCATTTTGACAAATCAAGAAAGGACAAAAAAATTTACCTATTATACCCTCAATTAATTACTTTGAAAAAGGTAGGACTTCTTGAAAATATTAAGTTTTTAATTCATCCACTTCATAATTAATAAGGGTAAAATGGTAAACTCACTATGTCAATTATTAATTTCTTAATTGGTATGTCAATTCAAAAGTGGACAAGTAATTAGGGACAGAGGTATTGGAGTATGATGTAATAGTGGTCTCTAAATGAGTATCAAGTTATAATTTTCTTATCATTGACCCTAATCCCTTTCTAAATGTTAAAGTAGGTTAGAGTCTCACACGTTGGTTGGAGAATGGATGAGTGCTTTGCTTATATGGACTTTACAATCCTCCCCTCGTGATCATGAACTAGCTTTTGAGGTTGAGTTATACTCAAATGTCATATCTTTATATGGTATCAGAGTCGGGTCCATCCATGTTTGGACTCTCAGTATAGTTGAGATTGGGCATGAAGGAGGGTGATAAAGTGGGTTAGAGTACACATGATTGGGATCGGACGGGTAACTTGCTTATATGAACTCGAACAATCTTCACCTCATGAACTACCTTATATGATCCTCCTTGTCATGTATTTGATCTACGCAAATTATGTTGGATAGTACTATTGAATTCATCGCTTCTAGTTCTTTAAATAGGTAGATTTTATGCTTGCTAACCAATAAAACAAAAACTTCATCTTCATTTAGCATAGTAGGAATCTAGGTTATTGGGTGTTTTGTACACCAAGAATATTTTCAACCCTTTTCAATAATAACAAATCGATTTGAGCTTGAAATTTTCGATTTGATTGTAGACCCACTTTAAAGCTTGAAGCTTTGTCCATCAATGGTGGTAGTATTTTCTCAACCCCTTTCAACAATAACAAATGGATTTGAGCTTGAAATTTTCGATTTGATTGTAGACCCACTTTAAAGCTTGAAACATTGTCCATCAATAATGGTAGTATTTTCTCAACCCCTTTTAATAATAACAAATCAATTTGAGTTTGAAATTTTTTATTTGATTGTCGATCCATTTTTAAGCTTGAATTTTTGTCCATCAATGGTGATATTGTTTCCCACCCCTTTCAACAATAATAATTTGATTTGAACAAAAAATAATGAAATTGATTTCTTGATTTTGATTGAAATAATATGTTTCTGGATTTTGTTTGTGAGATTTGGAAAATGAATTGAAGAACATTTTTCCTTTTATTTGATTTCTAATGGAGATGATAAGCTATGTTTTTATTTGTAATTTTAAATGTCATGATATTTTAATTTGGGTCATGAGTGGGTAAATTATGAAAAATTGGTGGGTTTTCAATTTTTTGAATAAATAAAATAAGGTAAATTATTTAGATGATGTTATGTGTTAATCTGTCAGTTTTAAGGGTATAGACGATCCAAAATATTGACGGTAAGGATATATACAACCTTAAAATATAACGGAGAATATTGACATATTATTTATGATAGTACGGGAATATATTTATCCTTTTTCCCTTCCTTTTTTAAACAAAAGGAGTACTAATTTTCCATCCATGCTTATTAGAATAAACCTTTTTAAATTACTACTATATCAAAAGAAGGCACTTCGATCTTCTTCACATTTAGTCCAGGATATTTGTGAAATTTCTACATCATATTAATTTGTTTATCTTGCTTTTTTAGTCTGTTATACATTTGAAAATTATGTTTAAAAAAATACTATAAATCATAGTTATAATTAATGACTTTAAATATTAAAAGACATACAAAATTGATTGATTATTTGTGTCACATAAATTGGAACCGGGGGGGGGAGGGGGGTTTAATATATACTATTTGAAAACTACGTAAAGAAATACTATAAATCACAATAATAAACAAATTAAAATATTTTAAAATTATATAAGTATTTGAATGACTCTCCAAATGGACTTTGTATCACATAAATTGAAACAAAAGAAGTAGAGATAATGCACAAATACCCCCTAGACTATGACCGAAATCTCCGAGACACACCTAAACTTAACTATGGTCTTATTACCCCCAAACTAATTTAAAATGGGTCGGGGGGAGGGGTAATAGAAACTTAGTTAAGTTTAGATGTGTCTCTGAGATTTCGATCTTAGTCTAGGGGTACTTATGCGAAGTCGTGCTGACACAGATTCCTATATCTAGTACTATAATAAGTGTGCGATCAATTGTATAAAAATTAAAGAAAAAAATACAAGTTCATTTATGTATGATGAGCTTATTTGATTGATAGTTATTACATTAAGCATATGAAGAATTACCATTAATGAATTTGAAATGTAATGTTCGACCTAGTTCAATTCTGCAAATTTTATAATATTAGAGCATAATTTCTTATTTTTATATGTCTATAATACATAAGTTAAACATGAGTTTAAGGGAACACTGGCAATGGTACAACTAATTTCATGTGTTGAAGTTTTTGCCTTATTTCTTAAAAATTGTAACCTCCTCCTTTTTATTGTCGCACACATAAGAAGTTATTATCGAATGAAAGTAATGTTTTGTAGAAGTTGTACATAAGTTCGATCAAATATATGTTTGTTGACTGTTGGAGTTAAGGTGGAGGTGTGAATGAAAAATAGAAGAATATTTGTAGCTTTAAGTACATTTTAAATCGGAATTTTCTCCTTTATTGATAATAAAATAAAGAGAACTTTTGTATTTATATATAGAAACACTTCTTCTGGCTCTTAAAGTAGTTTTGTTAATTCCTTGAAGACTTGACTCTGGACAACAATATTATGAGCTATAAGCTTGTTAAAGGCTACGGGAAAAAAGGATTATCACCTAGGTGCATGATAAAGTATATATACAAAGGGCTTATGACTCAGTAAATTGGGTGTTTATTGAGCAAATTATTGCATTACTTGATTATCTCATGGTGTTTCTTAAATAAGTGATGACCTGTTTGATGACAATAGCATACTCTCTGATGGTGAATGAACCTACAAAGCCCTTTAATGCCAAGAAAGGCTTGAGACAAGTACATCTCGTCACTTCTCCTATGTGGTTTACAAGCTATTGCATAGTAGCGGAGGGAGCGGAAGTTTTACCCTGTGCACACTCAAAGAATAGCGGCTGCGAATTTTCCTTGTCATAAAAAAAAACTAGGGGATCTCTTGTCCCCCTTCCTCTTTGTGTTAGCAATGAGACTATTAAAGTCACTTGAGGGCACAACCATGGGCAGAATATTTAAGTCCTCAAAAAGTGTTCAACTAATTTCACAAAAACACAAATAAAGAGCACGAAAAAAATTAAAAATATTTACAAATTTATTTTTTTAATGTTGGTGCCAAATGACACTAGTATGGACATAAGAGAAGAAATCACAATTAAGCAATCTCAGCCCTAGCACTGGAAAGAAGATGGGAAGAAACTGACTCAAGGCAACAATAATAAAATCAAGATCAAAAAATAAATAAACCGGTAGCAAAGTATCTTCCGATGGCGAAAGTTTTTTAAATTCTACAACATAACAGAACAAATTCCAGTACAACTATGAACTTGAGGAACATTTGTGACATAATATTTCAGATCAAACACTCTCCAATGCCGCGGGTAGAAGCAAAGAGAGATCACGATTCTGCAGCAGCAGACTGTATACAGCAGAACCATTTTTTCTGAAAAGCAATTGCATACACAGAGGTTATTATATGGAATTCATGAATCTAATCCGATGATCGAAAAGATTATCAATTGGCAAAACTAACAGCTACTCCCAGGACTAAAAGCACATAAATATAATGTGAACCTCCTATGTATAGAATTGATGAACACAATCAGTTCTTGGATAATGCATAACTGAAGGGCCAATGAGATAGTTTCCTATTTGCCCACTTATGAGAAATTTCTCGAGCAAGAGCAGCTTATATACGTGAGCGTGCACCAACTATGTAGATGCTATATGCATGTTGTTTATCTTACATTTAAATTCAGTAGTACAACAAAATTCCAATGTTAGCATCAGTATCAAAATCAAACTAGGATTCATAATACAGAAAGCAAGCAAAGGCAAAACACTGCTCAAACTGTAATGCTCACATCTAAGAAGCCTCTTATAGAAGCGATAGTGTAACTGCATACAAAGCCATCATATAATAATTAGAAGATACACTAACGAACGTTAGTTCTTTACATTTTGTACCGATAATGTTTCATTTTATGAGTTGCACTCCATCCATTGTTTTTTCCAATTTGCCTCCCAATGTATGCAGTATTTCTTAATGTGCGAAATACCCTTTACTAGTTCCATGATTTGCTCCTTACGATGTGTTCAATTTTCTAATTAACACCCTATCCTTTGCAACATCATATGATACATTTGTGATGGGCCAAAATAAAAGTAATACAATTTCAAACCATTATATCACTATGAAGGAAATAATTCATTTGTCAAGGGGGCATAGGCATCAGTCATCTGTCCAACAAAGGGTAAGGTACTTATCCTGCTTGCAGACAACAACACAGGTTAGTGGCACGTCGATCTGACTATGGTAATCCAAGTGAGCAAAAAAAGACTTTTGGCTTGTTTCGTAATAGCGACTTACTTTTCCAAAAGCTACACTGTTGACTAGCCACAAAAAAAAGAATATTTGGAATTGGAGACAATTGCACGAACAAAAGGTGAACAAGAGTCCAATACTACCCCAACGATAACATGAAAAATACTAAACTTACTAATGGCTATAGTCTTTGGCACCATAACTAAAAGAAATAATCAATTCTAATTGACAGTGAAAGACACAAAAAAGAGCATATATGTAATTGAAAAATGTCCTTTAAACTTGTGGCCTTAAACATAACAAGTGAAAAGTTGAAGTTAAAGTATTACCAAAAAAGGAAATTGGGTCATTCTTTTTTAAACAGAGGGAGTAATTAGTAAAAAGGCACGCAAGAGACAAACTCGTAAAGCCAGCAAGCTATGTTGCACAGACTCTTAAAAAATGTCGAGAGGTGCGTGTCAGATCCTCAAAAAATAGCGTATTTTTGAAGGATCTGACACGGGTACGGCAACATTTTTGGAGAGTCCGAGCAACTAGCCAGCAAGTACTCAAGCAATTACGCCTAGAAGTTGCTCTGCTGGCGTGGACAAATATTATTCATGTCCAGACCCTTCCTTCACATATGATTTATTTTATGATTTTTTGTAAAGGATGGGGTGCCAATAAAAAAATTGATACATTGAGAAGGAAATCAGGAAACCAAAAAGAAAAGAACAATAATGCAAATTATAAAAACGCAAACACGTTATGATGCAAATCATAAATGTTAGAATAGAATAGGAAAACACAATCCTACACAAACTACGAATAGTTTGTGGTCTCCTATTTGGTAAGGAATTGTATTATATAGTGTCTATAAATAGGGTTCTCTATGTAATTATTAGAACAACAATTCAATAATATTTTTCCCATATATATTTCTCACATGGTATCAGAGCATTGGTGAAAAAAAAAAAAAAAAAAAAAAAGAAAAA